ATAATAACTAACTACTGAAGATGACCACAACCAGATGGTCGAAACGTCTAGATTGACCTAAACATTTGTTATAATATATTAATAAATTAAGCACGAAAATCCAGCTTGGGCTCTGTAGCTTGTTGTTAATTATTTAAATGTTTATTATTTAACAATTACAAGTTACTAAATTTTTTAGAGATCGTCATATGGATATTGTTCCTACGTTAGATGTCGATTCCAGCGTTGGTCAACATCACCTGGTACAAATGTGGCCTATATTTCAAGAAATACTCGCAGTATTTCCAAGTTTAAGTTACGTGCACATCGGTCCGCGATTAGCCAGTTTATTAGTGCAAGCTGAAAACTTTAATTTAAATGCGTCCGTCAACGATACGATTGAAACGGACATGTCAGAAGTATTCAAACCCTACTCGTGCCTTCAAGAACTCTGGCATATTCTCAATCTGAGCTCAAGTACGACTCTACTGCTCTGCTCCAATGGTCTACATTCCAAATCTGAATTTCACTCTATTCCTACTAATATCATATTTGTTGAATATGGATTTCAGGTAATGTCAAATTTTCACAATTTTCAGTGATATGTTTGCAAAATATATTAAATAAAACATGACATTTACTATAAATATCTGAATGTTACAGGCTGATTATGATTTTTCCGAATGGACGGAAGCATTTAGAATGGCAGGCGGAAATGTTTTACCAAGTTCCGGCACAGCTAGTTACAATAGTTTAGCTGGCTGTCCGGCATCGACGTATGCTAACACGAAAAACGCAATAAAAACCTCTCTGGAGCAGAATTCAATCGGAATCGTTGTTGCGCACTGGTCGGGGAGCCATCATCTTACACCGCATCCTTTTGCGTGGATTGGATACTTAGTGGCGGCTGGCTTGTCTTGGAACCCAGCGACGGAAATAGATTTAGGTCCTGATTACAATTACGACATGCCTGAATCGCCTGCATCAGTCAGGTAATGATTAAAATTTGCAATTTATACCTTGCATTACTAAGGTAAATCATCATCTATTTAATAAAATTGTTTCTTCTTACAGAGAAAAATGTATCACAAAATTATTGGACATACATGTTTTTCAAGACTTGGAGTATAAAATCGGCAGTGCGCTATTAGAATTGGGACGTTTAGACACGTTGGTATTAACAATGAGCAAGAATCAAGCAGTCAAAGACCTGCAGCAAATACCGGACAATCGTGGCTCCACATTGTATAGATTATTAACTGATCCGGATAATGTGAATTTGGAGTATCTGTCGACTGATCTCTTTGCTGTAAGTACGCGAATCAACGAAAAATATATTTTATTATTTATTATGAGAATGAGATAAATAATACAGAACATTCGACTGTGTAGCATTGTGAAATAATTTGCTGTTGTACATTTGCAGAAAATGACGAAGATGATTAAACGAATATCCCATTCCTTATACGAGGCGAATTTGTCCTCGAAGTTTGCCGCAATGGAGATACAGGAATTGCAGTTAACTTTGGATTTGATGTTGACTGCCTGCAAGATCGGCAGAACGTTGATTGGCGTCGGCGTAAATCCAAATAGCAATATGGGGCTTGCGGTTATCAATTTAGGAGTATGCAATTTGCCGCCCACTTTTAGAACCGACATAGCGAATAAGATGTTGGCTCACATAGAGCAATATAAAGGGGCCTGGTTGCAAAGACATTTGCCACAAGGCCTCCAAAGCTCTTTGTTAATCATGACTAGCGCGTTACATAGATTCCACCAACAAACATAATCTTTTTTTTTAATTATATGAAGCATACTAGAGAACTTGACTGTGTAAAAGATTTTTGCATAAAGCCTTTTCGGCTTGTTTGAGATGTTAATCAACAAAAAAGACTACAATGCGCAGATACATACGAAAAGTAAAATATGTAATACATGCAGGATTTTTAAGTGAATTTAAAGAGCGATCTTGTCAAAAGCAATATGTATATAAATATATATACCTTTATATAATATTGTACTGATTACAACTGTATATTGTAATATCGTTTCTGCCATTTGCGAAAGATCTGGTTTCAAAGAATATTCCAAGGAGTTTCATGACGAAAACATTTTTATTTATGTTCACAGATCATAATTATAAAAACATATTCATTAAATACAGAGATTTTCATTAATTATGTGTATTGTCCTTATTGATTGTGAAAGCCATAGTTGGTATAATTAAAAAAAAAAAATCCTTACTTCCATATATCATTTATTTTCATATGGACATATGTGCAAATGCAACACATTCGAATTTCTTTTGCAATAAGGTAATATATTTTTTATAATATTAATAGATTTGATACAATTATATATAATATCTTATAAGACATGTGTATAGCAACATGCAATAAATAATATTAATCTATAATTATTATAAAGTATAATATTGCACTTTTTCATGTCATGAATAATACAGAAGTTTTATTTCATTGTGAAATATTCTATGTATATAATTATCTTACAATGCCAATACTATTTAGTCACAATTGAGTTTTGTAAAAAATTTGTTGAAATTCTTTCTTTTGTGTATCGTATAAATTTTTGTTGAATTTTTATCTTATCACATATATAATTTTTAACAATATTTTGGTTACATTATATTTTCAAATATTTCCCTTATATTATATAAAAAATAACAGTTAAAATCATTCAAGCATTCATTATTTTCAGCTGCAAACTTGGTAATAAATCTTGCATATATTGAGCAACATATTTTATATTCTCTTTTTGTTAATCAAAGCTGCGTATAGAAAATATTTTAAATGCATTTCAAAATAGAAACTCTATATATAATATATATTTTATTTAAAATATATATTTATATCAATTCTTTAATTTTATCAATCTTTGTTTAGAATATACTATTACTATTTATGAGATTGTTTCTGTTTTGTTCATTCCATCCACCCATCTCCAAATCCTGTTGATGAAGCATTTCTCTTTCAAGCTTTTGTAACCTATAATATTCATTGATTTCAAACTGATACTTGGGTGCTGTTATGCCAAAGAAATTGGCTAAACATTCTCCAACATAATCGCAACCATCTAACATTTTTGAACTGAACGATGTAGTTTGATGCCATGCCCATGGTAACCAATTCATATTTTTCTACAAAATAATATTTATCATAATTTTACATTTTTATTATAAAAGTGATTCTAATATATAATCTGATATAGTTACCGTATCTATTTGCGACAAAGATTTATTATCTTTTGGCGTGTCCACTTCATCTTCTGATGAATATTCCTCCATTACGCCATCCGAAAACTGCAGCACTCTCTTTGGTTTCTTGCTCAATTTATGTTTGCACTATATATCAAAATTTGTTGACTTTAATATATATTTAACTTGTTGCAATCTTTATTTTAATATATATTTAACTTGTTGCAATCTTTATATAACATTTATCTAAAAAATCAACTAGAAACTTTTGGAAAAGTGTAATCAATTTTTCATTAATTCTTAAGAATTTAAAAAATAACTAAATTAAAACTAAAAAATACAAGTTAAAATTAGAATAAATAAATTACTCATTTTACAAAAAAGCTTATTCCAAAATCCTATTTTAAATTTAAATATTGTCTTTCATAGAAAGCAGAAATATATTTAGGGTCATCGACTAGTAAACAAAACATGTTGTTATCTTATTTGATTAGGTCCTAATTGCCGAGATGTTTCACTGTATACACTGTCATTTATAAATTTACTTAAAAAGATAGAAAGAACAGATAAATAAATATATCTTATCTTTTTTTTCACGTTATAAAATTTTTTTCCAATAAATCAGTTAATTACTTAGAGAAAATTGTTTGCGTAAAAAAATTTATTGAAGGTTAAGTAAAACATTCTTCGGTGTTGGTCAACATATACCTGAGTTTCGGCGTCGGAATTTTCCTGCAAGTTAACGTCACTCAAGTCGCAAGTATCGTCCTTTTCTGACGTCATCATTGGTTGTATTTTACAATAAACAAAACTTTTCCGCGTTAAACTAATAGCGTTTTCGATTATACAGGATTTGAACGACCCAGGGTTGGTTAATGACGTCATTGCAACCTCTCCACCAATGAAAGACTTGCATTTATAGTAAAATAGTGATTGATCAACCCTGGGTCGTTCAAATCCTGTATAATCGAAAACGCTATAAGGCACTAGATATGTAGGTATTCTCATCCGCCATTTTGGTTCCTACTAGATGGAGAATTATAGCGTATATAGTATAGTATAGCGTACATGTGTAACACGTCAATTATTAAAAATGATTCAGGACTTTTTTCGACTCATTTTTTGGCAAGGAATAACGCTATGTACTTAGTGGGCAGTCTTTGGGTTTGTTCGTTTTAGCTACACTGGGGCTGCTCTGGGTCTGCTCTACACAGGATAATACAGGACAGATAAATAGTTTGTCCTGTATTATCTTGTTTAGAGCAGACCCAGAGCTGCCCCAGTGCAGCTAAAACGAACAAGCCTTTTAAGTGTCACCTTGTATACGCTATAATTCTCCATCTAATAGGAACCAAAATGGCGGATGAGAATACCCACATATCTAGTGCCTTAGTTAAACCACGTCGTGTTTTGATAATTCTTGACAGCGCATTGAACAAATTTCTCCTTCTCCTTTGTTTATCCTTCAACTGACTCATTTGCAACGAACGATATTGAAACGATCGTGATCGAAATCTCATTGGTGGTTCACTGTACCGATCGATAATACGCAGTGTGACGCAATTTAAAATAAATATATTGCCTTCATAATCAAAAATCTTATTCTGCGATCGATTTTTATAAATTCTTTTCTTCTTACTCACAAACTATGACTTCATTGTGCATGCGCAAATGTAAACGGCGTGGATTGTAATCGACAATAGTTATATTATTAAGAAAATTGTTAAAAATTTTTAGAAATTTCCAAAAAAAGAAATGAAAACTTTCATATAAAATATTTATATGAAATTCTTAAAACGATTTAAAGATAAAAATCACTAATGTGCATACAGTTATGCAATAGTATGAAAAAAAGTATTTATTAAAATAAAAAAGGTACACACTTTATCTGCAAATAGAACAATTATACTATAAAAACCAATATTCCTAATATTCCTAATATTATTAGCATTTATTACACATTATTGAGAAGGGACAAAACGGTCGCAATACGATCTCCCCTTCCCTATTAATTACAGTCCCGTTCACACCCCGCAGAACATTTTGATTGGTGGAAACGGGGCGGCTATCGACCCTAAACGGAGTCCTCGATTCCTCGATCGCTCGAGTTGGTTCGCACGTTGAATGGCGACACGGAGGGGCTATCGTTAACAGCTCCCACTTCAGATTCCATTTAAAGTTTAAACGGAATGTGCAGAGCGTCTGAGTGCCGGATTAGGATATGCCGTACTAGAATCTGAGAAGCGGAGCTCCGGAACGGAATTGTGGGAACGGAGCAGTCGCTCGGCCCTCTCGCGTCGCTTGCATCTTAACAGAGCGTGCGAGCGAGAGTGCTCGCGTCTCGACGACGCGTTAATTATGTGAGTACGCGGTGTCTAAACGTCTTTCCAAGTGGCGAAGAGATAGATTTTGACGTGTCATGTTTCATCACGAGTACGAAAAACGGCTGGTGAAGCTGGCGACCACGGTCGGCGATGGCTCGATGGCGACGGGTACAACCGTGTTATCCAACGTGGTTGCTACTTACTCGCCCATTTACTTCTCACCCACAAAGACATCGGCCTGCAACAACAGTTACGATCGTTTCATACCCACTCGCTCGGGAAACAATTGGCAGACGACGTACTCGATGATCAGCGAGAACATCCGCAATGGCCTGGTGGCGAAGAAAACACGGGAAAACGGCGAAGGTAGTCGCGATGGTATCGCGTACTCCTGCTTGCTGAAGAACGAATTGCTCGGGGCGAGCATAGAGGACATTAAAGGCCAATGTGAGGAGCGCAGGGTGCTCTCACCGTTAGTCACTAAGAATCTTTTCAAATATACTACACCCACCAAGGATCGTACTTTATTGGATCAAAGCTCACCTTACTCCTTATCGCCGCTCAGTGCCAAAAGTCAGAAGCTATTAAGGTCACCCAGAAAGGCGACTAGGAAGATCTCAAGAATACCTTTCAAAGTGCTGGACGCTCCGGAGCTGCAGGACGACTTCTACTTGAATCTGGTCGACTGGTCCTCCCAGAATGTTCTCAGTGTGGGCTTAGGAAGCTGCGTCTATCTATGGTCAGCATGCACCAGTCAGGTGACGAGACTATGTGATCTGTCCAGTGATGGTAACAGTGTCACCTCTGTGGCCTGGAACGAGCGAGGCAATTTGGTAGCAGTAGGCACACACTTGGGCTATATACAAGTATGGGACGTAGCGGTGAACAAGCAGGTTAGCAAGTTGCAGGGTCACAGTGCGCGTGTGGGAGCTCTAGCATGGAATGGAGAAGTTCTCTCGTCTGGCAGCAGGGACCGGTTGATATTGCAGAGGGACGTTAGGACACCATGTGTGGTCGGCGAGCGGCGTCTCGGAGCTCATCGACAGGAAGTGTGTGGCCTTAAATGGTCACCGGACAATCAGTACTTGGCTTCCGGCGGCAACGACAACAGGCTCTACGTGTGGAACCTGCATTCTCTCTCGCCTATTCAGACGTACACCGAGCATCTGGCAGCAGTCAAGGCGATCGCCTGGTCTCCCCATCATCACGGCCTGCTGGCGTCCGGCGGCGGTACCGCCGATCGCTGCATCCGCTTCTGGAATACACTGACCGGCCAGCCGATGCAATGCGTCGACACCGGCTCGCAAGTCTGCAATCTGGCGTGGAGTAAGCACAGCTCCGAATTAGTCAGCACGCACGGTTACTCGCAGAACCAGATCCTCGTGTGGAAGTACCCAAGCCTCACGCAGGTGGCCAAGCTCACCGGTCATTCCTACAGAGTGCTCTACTTAGCGATGTCGCCGGATGGCGAAGCGATCGTGACCGGCGCGGGCGACGAAACTCTGCGCTTCTGGAACGTTTTCAGCAAGGCGCGCAGCCAGAAAGAGAACAAGTCCGTATTGAATCTATTCACCAGCATCCGGTAAACGGTGATTGGTCAGAGCACCATAGATCGACGTCATCTTTTACTATGCTTTTTTGTACATATGCATACACGCATACGCGCATTCATCGTCACAATTAATATCGTAGTGTTCTAAAAGAATTCTTATATACATATATATATATATATATATATATATATATATACATAGGAACGCGTATGTATAATTATGCTAGAAATACTGCGAGGATACTTAGAGAGAGATAGTATAGAGATAAAAACTATGTGGAGTTTTTTAACGCGTAGATTTCGCGGATTTTTCGCACAACTTGCAATATACATTTAATTATTTCTGTGCAATACTCGTCCACTCTCCGGTAAGATATCTTGAGGGGAAAAACAAAATTACCCATCCCGGAGGCTATCGCAAGACGCTCTATATATTTTTTAAGCACTTTATACACTTATTTTTATACTGTCGCTACGTGTAGAATCTTGAATATTTATACAAGGTGTCCCGGAAACCATAATCTTAACTTGAGGATAAATCTGATGTTAACTTCTTGAAAAAAACCACACACACACACACTTTACACTTTGGTTTATATAATTAAATCACACATAAAGTTTTTTGTTTCCTCTTTTCATCATTATTTTACTCAAATAAATTCAATTTTTTAAATAATGAAACAGTTCTACTCTCAAAGTTTTTCTCTAAAATCGATTTCAGACTTTTTCAACAAAATATGTAATTGAAATTAAATCGTTCAAGGACATCCTGTATAATCCGTTTTCATATTCTATCGTATGCGATTATATTATATATATATACTATACTTTGCTACACATCTTCAATTGAGAATTCACAATGATCATTTTAGAATTTTGCAAAATCTCGTAATCGCAGTTTCTTTCAAAGGCGTATGTAATTTTTTTAATTTCTCTGTGTTCAGACATTTGCAAGCTGATTAATCTGAAAGAGAAAAAAAGGGAATTTATACAAGTCTTAGCAAGACTGCGCTTCTCTATTATTTGAAATCCCGATGTACTTTATTAGTCACTGTTAAAAAAATCTGTTGTTTGTGGATATCATAAGCTTTTTGTTATATTCTTTTATGATCAATAATTTATAGTTAAATTTGCGCGGCAAATTGTACAAATTTAAGTTGAAATGTGACTTACAAAGAATCTATGCTAATTTATAACAAAATCTATTGCTAATTTATAACAAAAAAGATTTATATATATACATATATGTATATATAATATATCATATATATTTTGCGTATTTTTACTGCTTCTGTTTTCTTCTTGAAAAGAAGCAAGAGAAATTGTAAATCGACGACAGCAATTGTAGGATCGAGAAAATGCACATATAGTTCGCAAATTTATATACATGCGTAATCTATTTTTTGCGACATCGTAAATCGTGAGTGAACATGTGTAATAAGCAAAAAAAAGGAAAGACTAAATAAAGTTATATTGAAATTAGAATATGTAAATTTCAAAGAGGCGACCATTTGTGAATCGTCATCTACTGAATGTAAATGATCGGCAATTATTATATCACATTATATATTATGCTAGAATATGATGTATAAAATATTTTTATACAGTCGGCTATTATCGTTGGATGAAGTGCATATATGCCCGTGACACTTTGCTCGAGTCATGCGTAGCGATTAACCAGGAAGACGCACCGGAAGGAAAAAGGAAATGTAAATCGCAACACGCTACATTCTTCTATGTGCACTGCATTCTATATGCGCTAGGATACTCTTCGTGCTTCTTATAATAAGCTAACTGCAAATAACAATGTGCTTTTTCGCAGTTTTATGCAAGCGATAATTTGTGGCACATAACCGAGATGAAAAAACTGTTTCGTTTTTTATAATAAGAGAAAATATACATATACATAACGCAAACTATACATCAGTTCTATTAGATGTAACAATCTCGTAAAAGAAAATATTGTAAGAATAGAATTATATGTAGAACATTGATAAAATTATTAAATTGTAAATTATGAATCGTTATCTAAAATGTACCTGTGTGAATACAAATGAAGGATGAAAAGTATATTGCAAATGGCAAAATCAACAATACTAATGTATGCGAGTTAAAATCTAGTCAAATCTTTTTCAAATTCAGTACGAAGCTGTCGATAATATTTTCTTAAATTAATTGTTTCTAAATATTTCCCTTTTATACAATGCGTATGATTTATTTCTCTATATAGATATTGTACTTTTTATTCTTCCAAAATCATACTTTTAAATATCAAAGTAAAATAAACTTTCACAAGAGTAGCAGTACTTTATCTATTATACCAATTAATATTTATTTATTATATTTTCTATCGTGTTATCTAATAGAACTGAATAGAAACTGTTTGCGGTATGAACACATGAATTATTTAAATATTTGATAAAGACAGTATACCTTGTGTTTCTTTATAAAATGTGTGAACTCTAGTGTGCATTGGATTTGCGACCATGCATCAACATGGAAGCTTATTAAATCTTTGATGTATTAATGTAGATACAATGGTATCTATTGTCATGCATGCATCAAGATTTAATAAATGTTGAAGCTAGATACTTCTAATTTATCCAATGTCATAAAATCGGTTTCCGATTTACGATATTCATTCGCTGCGTGCAATGTTTTCATAGAAAACATTATATTACTTCTCATTATATATTATTTTTGCCAATTGCCGATATAATCGTATGCAATTATGCTGATTCTGATAGAAATATTTCGGTTAGGTACATATAATGTAAGATTAATAAATCAGTTCTGTATCTATTATTAATTTGATGAGAATTACAAGAAAATTCTGTCATATACACATGCACACGCATATATATTAGATCACATATATATGTCCCCTAATTCGTGAATCAAAACATTATAGCAGGAAAGCTCTTAAAACACTAAATTAAAAAGGTCTGCAATTTTTCAATCCAAGCAATAGTTTTTGATAATTTGTTAATGCTGTCGTGTATGCTACTTGCTATTTACGGAAAAAACTACTGCTTTCACGGATAAAGCTACTGCTTTATCATAGAACCTGATTAGTCAATTTTAAACTCTTGTATTTCAAAACTATTGCTTGAATTAAGACTTTTTTGATTTCGTTTTTTTTAGTTTGATTTAATTCTTTGAGAACTTTCCTTCTATATTTTGATTCGTGAATTGCGGGACACCCATATATATGTGTGTGTGTGTGTGTGTGTGTGTGTGTGTGTGTGTGTGTGTGTGTGTGTGTGTATGCATATGTATGCATTATATTAGTACAATTAGAGTTTATTTCTTTTCGGAACGATATAAAATAGTGAAAAATTATGTATTAATATATATACAAAAGATAATTATACTTTCGAAAATTGTGAAACTATTGTAACTGCCTGCAAGTCAGATGAATAAATATTAAAATAAAATACTTAATAGACTTTTAGTTATATTTTGTTATTCTGGGATACATCAAATAATTTTGTTACAAAAACATTTTTATTCTAACACATATAAAGGAAAGGCTCAAATGATATAATAGAAAGGCATGAGAGCCGTCGTTTAACATTTTTATTTTTAATTACAAAATTTAGTTCACAAATTAAAAAATTAAGAGAAATGGTATGAAATATTTTTTTAAATATATATAAATGTCTGAAAAATTTTGAATTTTCTAAAAAGAAAAAAATATGTGAAACTTCTATTTCCATATTTATGAAAACAATATAATATTTTACAAACATTAATTTCTCTTTTCTTTTTTTTTGCCATATTAAAAGCAAATCTTATCTCTTTTTTTTACCCATTCTTTTTTGGCCTTGCAAACAAAATTTACATCACGGGCGCTTATTCAACTGTTTATTATCTTAGAATTCCACGATTTAGTTCTAGCTTATAACATGGAAAGAAGTGAAAAATTTAGCTTTTATCATAAATAAAAATCGTAAATAAAAAAGGATTAGCTTTTAATATGACAAAAAAAA